GTTTACTTGTCATTAACAAAGTTTATTTTTCAGTTTGGCTAGTTTTGATAGGTCGGTTTTGCTAGGTAGTTTTGCTTTAGTATTGAAATTGGAAATGAGATTTGTAAAATTGTACTGGTAACTGTAAAAAATTGACTTAAAATTTGAATTTAATTATTTATTACTCATTTTGTGGCAGGGCTAGTGAAAAGTTTTGCATTAAACCTGTATTAAATCTGTTCATCATATAAAATGATCATGTCTTTTCAGGAGCCTTATGGATTACTTTTACATTCTCTTTATTGTTTTTTTTTTTTTTTTTTTTTTTGAAGCGTCAAAGTTTTGATGGGATTTGCTTTAAATGGAGGGACAGAAATCTCTCAGGTTTCATTAATAATATCTTTTGAATATGAAAGAAAGTCTTGCAGCTTTAGAACGACAGTAAATGACCGTATTTTCATTTTTGGGTGAACTATCCCGTTCAAGTTAAATCTGGCATTATACCCTTATTATATGTACAATTAAAAAAAATTAACTTTTAAAACCTAGGACAGAAATGTGTTTTATTTATTAATTATAAATAAATAAAAATCTAATATCATTTGCATCCAGTACTCTTAATCAGACTAGAATTAATCATTTAAAACATTAATAATGGCCAATATTGAAAGTCATTGAAATTGTGTGCTATTCTCTGTTCACCTGGTTTATTGTGTTAAAAAACACCATTAAACCTGATAATTGAAACAGTATAACACTGTATCCCCAGGTGCTGGAAGCTTTGCAGTATGTGGACAGCACTGGGGCGGTTCAGCTGAAGGGACGTGTGGCGTGTCAGATCAGCAGTCATGAGCTCTTACTGACTGAACTCCTGTTTGAGAACACTCTGAGTCCTCTCGCACCTGAGGAGAGCGCCGCCCTGCTGTCCTGCCTCATCTTCACACAAAACACCCAGATAGAACCGCACATCACCAACACGCTACAGGAGGTAATGCAGTTCTCTGCTCAACCGCATGCCCACGGTGGTCAAGATGGTCAAAACCTGGAAATAGTTCACATTTTGATCCCAGGACTGTAAAATAAACATGCTAAAATTTAATCTAAAAAATCATAGCATTATTATGCTATTTTAAAGGATAAAAAAAATATTCTAAAACTATTATTCAGTCTGAGATCCTACTCTGCTCTGATTGGTCAGATAGACCAGTCTTTTGTGATTGGTTACACTTACAGCAAGTGTTAGAAATGAATCCCCATTATCATATATGATTTTCACTTCTAGAGGCTTCCTTAGCACTTTTATACAGAGATGTGAACAGTAATTATAGCATCATCAATGCAAACCAACCTTTTGCAGGCCTCAACTACAACTAAAGTGTTCAAAGGCGGGTCAAAGTAGACATTGTTCGCACTTTGCATGCAGCTAATGAAGACCATAGGCTGGCTGGCATTATGCTAATTAGCTGAAAACCTACTTAGGTTTGTGTTGGAAGTAAGACAGGAATTATTTACGACTTGTTTCAGGTAATTCAGAATCATTTCTTTCTTTTAGGAGACAAAATTATTATTGTCCACTTTGATCTTTTGAAACTTTAACATTCGCAAACAGCGTTATCACATTCTACATGAAATGTAATATCTGAAAAGCATAATAGGGGCACTTTAAAGCCAATGTAACATTTAATATTTCTTCAAGCCAAGTTGAGGAAATTGTATGAATCACACAAGTAACCTAATTCATTATGCTCATCTAAAACGCTTCAAGCATTTCATTTGAGCCCACAGCCATTAGAATATAAGGCATCAGATACGCTTGTCATCATGTTTATGGATGGGTGTAAATTTGTACAGCTCTGTGAGCTCAACATCCAAGAGATATGCATAAAAATGTAATGGATGCGGCCTGGCCTCTGCTTTATGCCTTTAGCAAAGGATGCAGTCACAGATCAATGCGCCGGTGTGTGTTGTCGAACGGCCCAGAAACATGGAATTGCTTTAAAGAGACAGTGAATAAGTCATGACACTAGACTGGAAAGCACACAAGAGTTTTATAGTTCACAGTGGCTTGAAAATGCTCTTGCTGTTGAAACACTGTGAGGTGAGGGCGTACAGGTAATGTAGCCACACTTTGACTGCATGACTACATTGCCTGCCTTGTTCTAGTTGTGTAAGCACTTAGACAGCAGATGGAGACAAGAGTGGAGCACAGGACAAAAAAGACCGGCGCAGTGCTATACTGAGACATCTCACTATGAATAATATACACATTTTAGGCCTTTCAATGAATTAATAGGTTTAATTAATGCATCCTTGCTGAATGAAACCGTTCATTTCAGTAAAAAAAACGGTAGTGTGTGTGATACAACATTATATAATATTTTATATAATGTATATGATTTTTCTCTTATTCTCTCTAGGGCATCAATCAAGTACTCTGTGTAGCACAACGTATTGGTGAGCTGCAGAGGGATTGTGGGATAGGTCAAACTGCTGAAGACTTTGTGGGCCAGTTCAAGTTTGGCCTGACTGAGGTTGTGTATTGCTGGGCAAGAGGCATGGTGAGCACTGACCTTAAAACAAATAAAGAAATGATCATTTATTTATTTATTTTTACTCCCACACAAAGTAACATGACTTACTTGAACACACACACACACACACACACACACACATATATGAAGAGTTCAGATGCAAAAGCCTCTACATGCCATTTGAAATTTTCTTCTTTAATGATGATTTTTATCAAACTTGTATATCATTGCCATTTAAGTGAAATTAATGAAATAAAATATACAAGTTTGATAAAAATCATCATTAAAGAAGTAAATTTCAAATGGCATTTAGAGGCTTTTGCATCTGAACTCTTCATATATATATATATATTTTAAAAAAATTACTCCCACACATACATTTACATAGACACACTAGTTAATTTAGCGTAATCTATCTTATAAAACAAATTTGTACAAACATGTAGATCTATGTAATGCAATGATATGAAAGTCTGATCAAAGATTATGCCTGTTTTGGATGGTGTTTTTTTTTTTTTGCTAGCCATTTGCTGAGATTGCCGCGCTGACAGATGTGCAGGAGGGGACGATCGTGCGCTGTATCCAGAGGCTGGACGAGGTCCTGAAGGAAGTGAGACAGGCCGCTCGCATTGTAGGCGACTCCGTCCTGGGCAGCAAGATGGAAAGAGCCTCACTGGCCATACGCAGAGACATAGTGTTCACTGCCTCACTCTACACACACTGAGAGACAGGAGGAGGCAGAAAGTGTTTGTGTGTTGGTGAGTGTGATGTAAAAGTGAGTGTACAGAATATGGACCTAAGAATCTGTTCTTGAATTATTGAGTGCATGTTTACAATGAGTTGACTGTGCATGTATGAGTGAAGGAGTGATACACTCGTCACTCCTGACCAAAGTTGAAATCTCAATATGAAATGGAGGTTGACACCAGTTATGAACTGTAAGTGATTATACAGCAATAAAATTAGCTGTATCTGAAACACTGGTTTCATCCATATTTTAGAAACTCTTGCTTTGTGATCATTTTAAAAATGACTGCTCTGTTTACTTTTATGTTTGTGTCGTTATCTGTACATTTTTGCTATTGAGATTTGGTCTGATTTTAACTTTTATTTTACTTTTGTCATGCAGGACTTTATATTTTTGATGCTCTACTTTTTTATCATTTAATATTGTTAAAAAAAAGAAGAAGAAAAGAACAAAAATTCATGATTAGTTTTAAGATGAATCAGGGATGTTACCACCATAAGATATCTTTAAATTTCTATGGATTTAAGATTTATACATCAATTTTCAGATAATATGATCAATGTGTTTTTTCAATGAATCATTCAAACTTTTACATTTGGTCCTCCAAATCCTCAATATTTGATAATTGTTTTAATTTCAAATGTCTCAAGAATTTTACATCAACTTCTGTATTCTTCTGCTTTCAATACATTAACTGTTTATGATAGAGCCATTATGAATATTTCACAAATAAATCTCAATTGTGACTGTAGCAATCAATATAGCTTAAGTTTTCATACCAAATAAAACAGTTTTTTTGTTGGTCTAGTGCTAAATTTCAGAAAACGTAAAAGAAAACCATTTTAAATTAATATGGGATCTCCTTTAACCCTAAAACCGTATTCTGGACAAATGTGGGCAAAATAGTTTTGATTTATTTTTATGTTAAGTGGGTTTCACCAAAAACTCCTTAATCTTGTATTTGGGTCACACCAGGTGACAACAAAGTCACTTCATCTTTAGGTTATGGTTCTAGGAACTTATTGGAATTATATTTTAATGTAGTTAATACAATTTTTTTAAATAAAACTACATAGTAATTTTATTAATTTACATAGAAATAGTTTACATAGAAAATATGGTACTTTTTGAAGTAAATAAATTCAAAAATAACCCCAAAATAAAAGAAATAACACCATAAATGGATAGACAAAACTTTATCGAAGACAGTGATATAACATTTATAATTAAAAAAAAAATTAAGATCACACCTGAGTCCTCTGTGCCCACATTTGTGCACAATTGTCTTTATGCCCAGCTGCACTACTTCCTGAATTTCAGCCAGCTCCTTATTTCCTTTCTGCCATTATTGGACAAATTGATTAATTCGGGTGTGCCTGACCTCAGTAGTCATGGCAACAATAATCAGACACACCTGAATTAATCAAGTTTGGCCAATAATGGCAGACAGGAAACAAGGAGCTGGCTTAAGTTCAGGAAGTAGTGCCGCTGTGCATAAAGCCAAGTGTGAGGTTGTATTATTTAAAAATTCAATGGTAGCTAACGCACCACGGATTTATTGCAACAAATAGTATGGTGGAAACTGTTACCATGGTAACAATGTTATTGGAAAAGCGTTCTTTTTCCTTTTTTTGTACATCTGTTTTAAATGCACTTTATTAGTTTTAGTTTTCTTGAAGTTAATTATATTTAGATTTGATGTGAGCGGCATGGATGGTGTAGTGCGGTTCAGTTGCTGTCTCTTTAAGACGCTCGGTTAATACAGTGTAACTAGATGCGTTAGTTGAAACCTGTTTTTCTGCTGCTGCCGATGCTCTGGATGTTGCAGTGTGACCGTGGGAAAAAAAAACAGCACAACAGACATTCAGAGGCTTTTAAACCCAGACAACCCAGCCTTTACACATCACACTGAAGATGCATTATAATTAGCCTGGAAATACATCATCAGCATCGTCTGTTGTGATCTGACACAAAGACAGAAGTGGTTGGATTTGGGTTTTTATTACTGGAGGGACAAACTGAACATCGTCGAAACGGACAAATAAACACGATGTCGTCGGAAAAACACGGTAAAATGTCTATTTGAAGTATTTGGTCACATCGCAGCTAACTAAATACATTCATGCAGCTGGAATACTGATTTAAATCAAAGGCTATTTATAAAAATGAGTGAGGGTCAAATATTAAAGGGCTGTTAAATGACCATTCATGAATAGTATGCATTGTTTTTCTGTTAATTCTTATTTAATCTATTATTATGCCATATATGCATTTCAGATTTCTGTGTCAAATCCTAGTGAGGTGAATCAAAAGCGCGAAACGTTAACGTCTTTTGTCGCGTGCTGCAGTTTTGCCCATTATAATAATGTGCTGAGCGTTATTATAACATGACATCAATTGTCGAATCAACCCTTAACGTTACTTATTCCTAGCGGATGATCCCCATGCTATCTGAGTAGGCAACTGGCTATTTGAAACAGAGGTTGTGTCCGTAAGCTATTCGCTGCTGCATAATGTCGTGTTGAACATATATAGGCCATATATAGCTACACAAATATAGGCTGTGTTGAGTTTAATCAAATGAGAGAATTGGCATAAAGTAAGTGTTGTTCAAGGTTGTTGTATGGGGCCTATTTCAGTCAGCAGGTCCCTTAGGTCCGTGATTCACCATGCTGTGAGATGGAGGCCCCTTATAAATTCACTTAAAACTGTAACGTTATTTTGTAAAACTATGGTTTAGATATAAAAACCTTTTTGAAATGTCAATAATCTATTTTGCGATCAAAAATCTAATTTCAGGGTATCGAATCACTGTTTTAGCTGATAAAAGCTGTATAGCCTACATCCATCTCACCTCTTTGTCAACCTGTAGACTGAAATCATATTAATGATTCATATTAATTGTTTTAATTATGCTTAATCTGCAGGATGTTGGACAGTAAGGCGGACACAGACAATGTTATCTAAATATGCTCAAAAAATGATGCATTAAATATATCCTTGTGCATTTTTTTTTATCTCTCTTCCAACTAATGAAATATGAATTGCAATGCCTGAAATCCCCCTATACCACCCTGAAGACCTGAATTATATGCTGCTGCCATTGTAGATTACATAATGATTTAGTCGCGCATAGAAACACACACACACTGGAAACTCTATCGGGTGACACAAGCTGGTGTAAATCTCATTCAATCTTTACTGTAACAGAATATTCCAGTTTGAATCCAGTTTGAGGAATAGTTTGACATTTCTAAGTAGAAATCGTTAAAGCATAGCCTATCAATTGACATCAGAAAGTAAAAAACGTATTCATTTTCTCTGGAAATTGATTTTCAAAGATAACTTGAGACAGACCTGTGAGCTTGATGGTATACATTTTTATTGAAGTCATCAGTTTGCATTAATTCAACATATTTTTTTAGAGAATCATGTTTAATTGTGGAATGACTGTCAATGATTCTGCATAATCTTTACCAAAGAGTCCTGGCAAACAAATTGTGCCAAACATTCTCAATCTCGCCATGCTCTTGAAATACACTTCCTAACTACCTATACTATATATATATATATATATATATATATATATATATATATATATATATATATATTGCAATAAACTTATGTTTCATGTACTTTTTTGCTTCAAATCAAAGTTTGTAATGTTGAGATTCACCGCGTGGCTGGTCGGTTTGGTTTGGATGATTTCATATTCAAATTAAAATACTTAAAGTCATTTAGCAGACACTCATTATTCGTGTCGTATGACTGTCAATCTGTCATGGCTCAGGATTGGAGGAGGCAGCAGGGAGGCAGGCCATGTCTCAGCCGATGATGCAGATGGCTCCACCTCCCTACCTCCCCAACCAGGACCCCAACATGCCTCCACATCCTCCTCCACCTGGCTGTGGCCAACAGCCGAATTACCCCCCTCCCCCTCCCCCACCTGGATCAGAGGGTTACCTGCAGGAAACCCAGTTCCACTGCGGCACCCTCGGGCCCCAGGGAGCTCCAAACGGATACCCGGTGCAGACGCACGGACCAGTAGGCACCGTCCCTCATCCTCCCGTGGGCTATTTACATACAGGATACCCCCTACAGCTGCAGCCCTGCACGGCCTACGTGCCCGTCTATCCCATAGGCACAGGGGTGAGTCAAGATTCATCTCATAAGGTATTATTTTGAGTCGGCATGAAATGAAAATTGCAATCTAAATGCAGGCATTGGAAGATTGTTGACATCATAATTATAATGTTTAATCAAAATGTCATTACTCAATCTTCTGGTGAAAAGAAAGACTTCTTTCTGGTGACGTGTGCCAATCATATTGTTCAATCATCATAAGTCCAGTTTAGATTTCTATGAGCAAATTATTTATTTATGGTCATTTTTTTAGCATTATTTTAATAGCCGTAAGCTGAGATCTTATGTGAAATGTGTAAAATTTCTATTCAAGACCAGCAGAGATGCGAAATATATCAGGACAATATCGTTTGTCTGCCAAGATGAGTGAATTTAAAAAATGTAATCTAGTATAATATAGTGCATGTAAAATAATAGGATACCATAAAGGGATTTCGCTAGATTACAGCAAATATATACTCTCTTTTTACTGTACATTGCTGTATGCATTTAGAACAAGTGAACTTTGATTATGTTATTTCAATCTTATTTTAGCTCCAAATAATTGCTAATTGACCAAATAATTATTGTGAATAAATTGTCATACTGTATATGCGATTGTGTTTGGAAGTGCAAAATGTTAACATTAAAAATGTGATAATAAAAAAATGAAAACAAGAAATATATTACTCTTGTAATAATAGTGTACTGTAAAAATAACATAAAATATAATAATAAACTAAATGTTACATATTTTACACTTCAATAGTAAAGTTATAATACTAATATTTGTTTAGTTGATCACAAAAATATGAATTACGCAATTATGAAATAAATTTCAGCCTTTTGCACACTATTGATAATCACACTATGATTTTACAGCCCTATTTCAGCTCATTTCAACACAGTTCTATTGTGATATTGTGATAAAAATAGGTCCAGTCTTTTTTATTATTATTATTTCAATCCACCTGCCAGTGGATGAATCCTTCATGACCTACAAAGTGTCTGTGAGATCAGATCTTTTTCTGAATCAGAATGCACCCCAACTGTGCACCAGTTTTCATAACCTGAATTGGCTTTTCTGTCTCTTTCCTCTTCTCAGGCACAGCCTTACATGCCTAACGGTGCACCTCATCCAGGTGTTGCTCCCGGCCAGATGGCCATGCATATGCCAAATGGCATTGCTCTGATGGAGTCTCGTCGTCCTCCTCACGACTATCTGCCCATCGCTGTCCTCACCACTGTCTGCTGCTTCTGGCCCACAGGAATAATCGCCATCATCAAAGCTGTGCAGGTAAACAGAGCTCTGATGACAGTAAGCCAAGATATCATTTCTGTTTTGCGTTGGATGTTCACACACAAGCAAGATGCAACTAAACAGGTGCGTTTCCCATACACATAACTCACTGCTTAAAGGGATAGTTCACTTTGAAATTAATTTTTGCTATGTTTTAGCTTACCTCAAGGGCATCCAAGATGTAGTCTTTGTTTCCACAGTATTTTCAATTTTGATATTTTTAGGTCAAACCGTTCTTGTCTGTCTGTCATATAATGGAGGTATAGGGGGTCCACCTCAAAGAGCATGCACAGAGAAGTCCAAATTAAACATGATTTAATGACTCGTAAATGTAAGTACACATTGATGGCCTAAGACACGAAAAGAGACAACAACATGTAAGATTTGTTGATTATAACTAAATACTGTCTAGTCCATATCGTAAAAGCCTGTGCCGAAATTGCGACTGATTTACCAAATAATCCTGTTAATCGTACCAAATACAAATAGCCTAAATAATGCTCAACTGAGACAATAACATTGTTGAAAATAAATAACCACATTCCTAGCATTAGGATCCTTTGTAAAGTAATGGCGTGATCCTGCATCTTTCATCTCTCTCATCTCACTAACACACCAGTGGGCGGGGCCAAAGTTGCAATGGTGAGGTATGCGTTGATTTTCTTCTGCAGAGGCGGTCTTTCTCCTATTTATTAGATAGGCACCTTTCACAACGAGTCGTACACTGGGCTTGGTTACAATAAAAGCAGTCCAATCTGCCTTGGACTGACAAGGAAGGTTTCAGTTTACTTACCTCTTCTATGTCCAAAACTTCTATGTGTGATTTCTTATTTCACGACCCCTTTAACGTCTGCTAACACTTTATTTTGATGGTCCTTACAGACATTCTGCTGATTATAAGTAACTTTACAATCACATTTCAACTTATTCTACTAACCCTAATATCTAAGTATCGAAGTAATATTTATTATCTACATGCAGTGTTGGGTGTAACTAATTACTAAGGGTGTAACTAATTACTAAGTAACTAATTACTAAGTAATTAGTTACTGTAATTTAATTACTTTTCCCTTAAAAATGTAAAGTAAAGGATTACTCTTCATTTATCTGTAATTTAATTACAGTTACTTCTGATGTAATTGAGGTAAATACTGTGTATAGATCAATCCGATCTCACAGCGATTCGTATGCATTTTATGAGGTGTCTAAATCGTACGACCGCACTCGTACAAATGTGTATGAATTATTGTAAAAAATGTATGAAAAAAGTTTGAAATATCATGAGATGTTTAACATCAAAATGCATCGTCTGATGTTAAAAAGTATGTTTTTATAATGTAACCTTCTCCACCTTGGTCAGTTTAAGGATAATTCATGCAATTTTATAGTATTTATTTAAAAGAATTAAAACAGATTCATGTCTATCCTTGTATTATTCAGCTGTTTGAGATTGATATAGGATTTTGAAAGTAATTAGTAGTTAAAAGTAATTAAATACTTTTTAGTAAGAGTAATTAGTACAGTAATCTAATTACACTGTTGAAGAGGTAATTAGTAACTAATTAATTACTTTTTTAGAGTAACTTGCCCAACACTGTCTACATGTACTAACTATATGGCTAGGGTAAGATTAGGGTTTGGTTAAGGGTTAGTTATGGCTAATATATACTATAGTTATTGCTATAGTACACATTAAAATAAAATGTTACCTTTTTTAACATCAAACAATTCAAATTAATTTCAAACTTACGAAGAGGTCTTTTATCTGTCTCATCTAGATATCAACTAAATACGTTTTTTTTGTTTGTTTGTTTGTTTAGGTGCGTACTGCTGTTGCTCGGGGCGACATGGTTACGGCAGAGATTGCTTCACGCGAGGCACGCAACTTCTCCTTCATCAGTCTGGCGGTGGGAATCGCCTCCATCGTGCTGTGCACCATACTCACCGTTGTGGTCATCATCGCCTCTCAGCATCATGATGACGACTGGGAGCCCTAGAGACAGCAGTGCAGGGACGCACCCCCTCAACCTGCCCTACAGACCCCAACATTCCAGTCGGTATTCTGCTTTTTCTCTCACACAGCACAGTTATGACTTCTCAAGCCACCACATCCTAATCTGCAGTCAAAAATACGACATTACAGCCATTTGCCCATGTATTAGTTACAAGAGAGATCAGCGGTATGGTAAATCAGAACATGGGAAACACAAAACGTCTACCTGTTGTAAGCGCGCTCACACTCTCATTAACCTACATGAACACTTCCTGCTTCTCCTAAACAAAAGCATGTGTTAGATCAGTAGTTCAAACATATAGTGTACTGAAGACTTGAGTCAGGACAGACGTGTTATTGTTTGCTCTTAAAATTTGCCAAAAATATTCCTATTCCTCACAAAAGTATTACAGGAACATAATTTTGGTATTATTAATTGTGTTTTTTGACATTCAAAACATTCCGTCTTTTATTTGTGCCATTCATCTGTTTACAAAGAAAGATAATATATTACTTTGTAGGTTGAACTGACTAATTTAATCACTGAAAACGTGGATAAATTGTGTTTTCTATAAACTAAGGGCCAGATTTACTAACAGCTTGCACCAGTGCAAACCCTCTTTTGCCGGTAAAAAATCTACTGTTCGATTTATTGAAGACGCGCAGTAAAAAATAAGCGTTGAAAGTTTCTTTTTCCGGCTGACCTAATTGTATATGAATTTGTTGGAGTTTCCCTTCTAAGAAGATAAATTTATGGGAGGAGTGTATTTAAATTAGATTTAAATCATGGAAGGTGATTTACTAAGGTTTGCGCTAGCCAATTTACTGGTATTTGCACCATTAATTAACGCCCCTAAAAGCATGTCTTAAACCAGGTGCTATTTTGCGCTGCTATTGGTAGATTGCGTTGGTCATTATGGAAATGATCCGCCTGCATCTATCTTCTTTAATTTGCATGTCGTCAGGAGATCACGCTAAGAACTTATCTTTATCGCTAATTTGCCCTGTTTAGTAAATCTGGCTCTAAGTATTAAAATTCAAATCCAAAAAGACTAGTTGATTATTGTAAATAAGTTTCAATATAATAGAACTACAATTTTAGATTTCATTTACCCAAAGGAACATCATCTTGTGTAGTTCAGAAGAGTGTATATCGGTATTGTTCACTCAGTGGTTTCTTTTCTTAAAGCTAAGGCCAGAAATATACTCTACGCAGTACACAAACACAGATGCAAAGGCTTGGCTATCACATGGCCACATGCAGTTCTGTTGAACATATTTAAAGAAGCATTGCGTAAGTTTTGAAATTGCTAACCGTGACACTGACACCAGTGGCCGTTAGAGAAACTGCAGCCAGTGTTCTCGGTGCGCACGCTCGTATGAGCACGACCACAGAAACCACAGACGGCTCATCGAGATTCACCAGCATGTTTACAGATGTAAGAAAATTTACAGTAAGGTTTGTTTGACAGTAAAACAACAAACAGTATTGTATGACAGCACGGGGTCTGTTTTTATACCCAGCGCTGACTGCCGCGCCGATGTTGACTCTTTTTTTTGCCAACGCCGGCGTCTCTCTATTATTTATTTATTTTATTTTTTTACTTGCGAGGGGTTTCTGTGGGTGTCTGGATTGTGCTGGAGGCTTGTCACTTCCATTTGAAACACTACTGCTAGCGATTACCGCTGCTTACTAATGGCTCCCGTACGGATAAAAGCCCAAGTAGACGAGAACGCGCATGACGTGCCAATTCGGACCCGACTCCTCCACACACAATTGAGCCTACAGGCTGATAGAAGCAACCGGGGTGGACAGTCATTCTTTCTATTACATTACGGTTGGCTCATAAATGTACTAACGAAAACTCTATTTTTTAAGTAAAAACCTACACATTGCCCCTTTAAAGCTAGTGATGCACGGAAAACGGAATCCGGATAAAGTTTGGGCAATTAAACTTAGGGAATTGTTACTGTTATTACATTTTGCTACTCTAGCATAATTTATGGCCATGGTGAAATGTGTCTAGACTGTTAACTGTTGCTGATTTTCCGCATCGTGTGCACAATATAGACGCTGACACAATCAAAACACTTCATCTGAAAAGCTTTAAATGTTTCAGGCAATGATTTCAGCCCTCCAAAACTATTTCGGCCGTAACCAGAAATTCAGTTTATTCCTGTTTAGGCCACATTTTTTTGGTTGTTGCAATTTGCATTACTATTTAAAGCTGCAAGGTAAAATCTTTCCTCTACTAGTGGTACAAAATGGAAATGCAGTCTGTTCAAAAATAGCAACATTGGCTTAACCAATAGTGTGAGTTTGGGGCGTGGCTAACCGATTATCGTGAGTACCTGTTTTATTGCACAGAATTGACACACTGCAACTTTGACAATAGTTTTACCGCATGTGGTGTTATTGTGGATGCGCGCCATAGAAAAACAAATTAAATTTAATAAACTGGCTCAGCAGGACTTTCTTCAAACTGTTAAATTGACAAAGAAAAAGACAGTTTATGCTCATGTATAGCTCCTCTCGTGGCAACACGGAGAATGTTGAATTGCTAATATATATTGCAGTTCAGCGACATGTGAAAATAGCTAAAAACATTTGCGTTTATGTACTTGCGTAGCGTACGCCTCGGGCCTAAGTGTTCCCAAGTGTCTTGTTGAAAACCGTTCTTCAAAAAAGTCCAGTTCAGAGATGTTGAAAGAATGTATTATAGGGTGAAATTATTGCTTCATTACTTACTTTTGTAAACTGGCTCTTCATTGAGGGAAGACATGCCATTTCCCTGTTGTGATCCAGTGTATTATTTATTGTTTAAACACTAAATTATTAATTTGTGTATTAAACTGATAATTCTGTATTTATTGAAATATGTGATAGGTCTAACTGTTGTGCTGAAATATTTAGTTCTCTTTAACAGTCAATCATCATCACGGATGATTGCTCAGCTGGCATATTTTAAAGAAGCATGTGGTGATATGCACTTTTATGCTCAGTAAGCAAGTAGCTAGTTTGTCTCACTTCTTTGTAGATGAAAGTGTAACTTGCTTCAATTCTGACCTCATTGAAACTCCTCACATGCTGCTGTCAGTTAGCTGTAGTTTGTTAGATAAACACATTTAGCACAATGGTTTGGTTGAACAAAACGAATCAAACAGTCCTACAGTGTTCCTACATATATTATACTGAAACATGGATGCAATGTTTTGGATTTGTAAGACTCTAATATGTGAATTTATCTCTTACTGCTTTCAAAATGCATCCGTGCCATTCATTGACTGACTGGGTGATCTGTCAAACTCTTTATTTTCACACAAGAAAAAAAAAAATGAAAATGTAAATTCTGTCATCATTTACAACATACCCTCATGTTTTTCCAAAAACCTGTATGAGTTTCTTCCATGGAGGATAAAAGTAAAATCGAGCTAAATGTTGATTCTGTTCTTTCCATAATGAAAGAGATCGGGGCTGTTGAGCTCCAAAACTGACAAATAACTCAAATAAATATAACAAATGTTCTGGGAATAAAGATAACATTTTTTGGAGCTTGATATCCCCAGTCCACATTTTCTGGAATAGAGGGGTGCAGGGATGACAGGCCAAACCCAGAAAGGAGTTGCATTTTTTTTTATTTTTTTTACCAAAAAAGGTACAAAAGCTGTCACTGGGGCTGTATACCTTTTCAAAAAGTACACTTTTGTACCCAAAGACTGCATATTGGTACCTTAGTGGTACATATTAGCACCTAAAATGTACACATTAGCACCTGAAAAGTACATATTAGCACCTGAAATGTGCATGTTGGCACCTAAAATGTACATATTTACACCTAAAATGTACATATTAGTACTTAAAATGTACATATTTACACCAAAATGTACATATTAGCACCTGAAATGTACATATTTACACCTAAAATGTACATATTAGCATCTGAAATGTACATATTAGCTCCTGAAATGGACATATTAGCACCTACATGTACATATTAGCACCTAAAATGGACAAAAGTTTACCTTTTGAAGAGGTACAGCCCCAGTGACAGCTTTTGTACCCTTTTTTCTGAGCACCTCTGGTTCCATCTTCCCGAAGTCAATGTGTTTTTTGCTAAATGCTTGAAATGCTTGCAAGCTCATGAGATTTTCATGTTTTATTATATGATATAAAATGCATCCATAATACCCTCTTGTGATTTTTATAGCTTTATCTTGTCTTGTAAAAGGTGGTTGCCAACAAGTGTCGAAATGGGACTACAGAGGTTGTCAGGGACATTATACTCCATCAGCCGAACAGCAGTCCACATTCACAGCCTCGTTGTATTTATAATCGCGCTCTTGCAGACTATTATAACTCAAACTTTCAGAGATGTTTTCATACAAAGACTGAAAGAGACTGAGTTAAAGTCATGGGTGGTTTTAGTTCATTTATTTGGCTTTTGATTTCTGCGGATTGTATTTACACTTCAATCTTCATAAAAGCGGTGTTCATTTGTGAAGAATATCATGATGAACAGAGCGTGTAAGAATCAAACTTTTGTTAGTCAAATACCTTATTTTCGGAAATAATCCAAAAGCCAATGGGAAAATCCAATTGTTTTTTTGTCGAAGGAACCCGTGTAATGCTAACTTCCGGGTTGGCCTACAAAAAAAAAATGTCATCCTTGCAGCCTGGATCTGATCAATTTCTCCTATTGCATTCCATGGGGGAAAATCATAAACTCAGTGTATGATCTTTTCATGTTTAAAGAATTTCTACATTTGCAGGCTTGACAGTTGTGACGAGAGTAAAAAATGCTTATTGTCTCAGTGAAATACAAGATAGAGAACAACCAGTCTTGATAAATGAATGTGTCCCATGATTAATTAGGAAACACGGAAGAAAATCATATTTTGCATCCATTTTGAGCACTTTCTGCCCTCTTCTACCATGCCACTCAATTTGAAGATTTTCTTTTTTTGCTTGTGTAATTTGAACTGCATCATATCTTTCTTTTCCTGCTCTCTTTAATCGATTTCTAATATCTATTTTTGAACAAATGCCTTGCAGCACTGCAAATGTTTTGCTGAACTGTTCGTTGAATGACTTCAGATGTATCGTTTATACCTGTTAGAGGTGTGATTGCATATGGTCATATTTATATGGGCTATGTCTGAAAATATGGCCCTCATTTTCTAACTAAGAGAGAGCATAGTTTCAATAGAAATCCAGTCTGTTAATAAGACAAGCTTGTCCAAAACATTTTATTTTGGTGTTTTAAAGTTGTGCAAACACTGTACTGTTGATGTGAAACTAGCTCTTGTTTATAATTAGACCAGCAATATGCTTTTTCACACTGTTGTGATATAAAGCTAATGCTTTATTGTTATAAACATGGCCACTGAAATCTGATTGCCAATAGTTATTGCACACCGTTTCTCTAAGCTTGTAAATTTGGCAGATGGTTTATTTAAAATAGCCTCAAGCTTAAACAGCCGCAACCTTGTATTTGTGTGCTTCTAGAGGTTTATTCTTCTGTGAATCTCACGAATCCTGTCAAAAACATGTCCTGGTCATATTTCTCCTCAAGTCAACAAAATTAAATATGATATACTCATAAATAGAATGAAGCTTATTTAGGACCATTATAATTTGTTGTATTAATTTGATGCCAGTTACACACTCCCCCCATTAATGTAAAAAAAAAAAATAATAATAATAATTGCTGAGATACAAAATGAGAATCACCATTGAAAATAATGTGAATTCCTCAGAATTTTGGCGAAACTTATTAAAAATAATGTTGCAATGCAAAAAAATCTCAATATTCCCTGAATCATGCTTTATTTTCGTATTTTTAGTCCATTTAATATGGGTGTGAATTGTGACCCAGACATGTTTTTTTTGTATTTGTGTGTGAGATTTGCTCTTTAATGAGACCAATCATTGATTTGCAGTGTATGAATCCAGTGATTTGAATTAAAGAGGAATACCTGGTTGTGCAAGAATCGATTGTGTGGCGTTTTCTCTCCCTCTCGTGTTTTGGCCTTTCTCTTTGTCTCAGAGGTGCTATTTATAGTTGCCCTGTTTTTTCTCTCTATCTCTGAATCTTTTTCCCTTGTGTCACTGGAGCTGCAGTATAACTCCACATCACACAACTGATAAACTGATCGGAGGGCGCCAGGTCCTCATAAAATGCTCTCATTTACATATTGTATCCATTATGTGGTGTGCAATAATTGCCCAGGGGCTGCAGCTCTTCTCAATCTGTGGGGGGGCATCTGTCATTCTGTGGATCCAATTCAATATGATGCTCGGCGAGTGAAGATAGCTATCAGAAAGCATCAGCATGACTGTGTCTGGCTGCACAGGATAGAAAATATTATAGAATAATATAATAGAAATGAAAGGGCAAGAGAGGGATCAGAAAAGTGCTAAATGAAAACATATCCAATTCATATTTCACCTCATTTAAGAA